CATTCCCTTCAGGGAAAGGCAGCGCCAGAGTTTAGAGCGGTCGACTGAGTCGAAAGCCGCTTTCAGATCGAGGAAGATGGAAATGATGGGTCTACGAAAAGAGTGTCTTTCTACTGTTCATACAAATGGACAACCAGAACTGGTACACGAAAGAGCGTGATTAATGGTTCTACAAACTACAAACTGATTTTTAGTTTGGAAATGATCAGGGAAGTTCGCTTCATTGGATTCCACTATTATTATATTTTATTCTCACACGTCTAAGTCCAGTCTGTGTGCCGAACAAATCATGGTACAATAATCTTTATAAAAAGCATAACGTTCCGTGATTTGCATGTGGACTGAATACTGTCAGGTTGCCCAAAACCAAGGCAGGTGAATTTTCCTGAGGAATTCACAACCGGAGTCTTCGGCTAGCCAAAGCCTGGCCCGCAAGGCAGCGGGGCGGTGAGCGGAAACCGCAATCAATTGGGAGCCGATGTCCAGTTTAGCGGACCATACGCCTTTCGAACGGGGTCAAAGGTCCAGGGTGCCCAATACACCTCGATGCCCAATTGAGCCGGTGACCGTTGCCGCAACCGGAACGGTGTGAGTGTGGTTCGTACGTCTCTTCTTGGTTGGTTTGGAATCAGGCCAACTCCCCTAGGTGAACTACCAGAGGTCCACTAACCTGGTCGTCAGATTTTTGTCCTCACTTTGGTGGGAACACCTATCCGCCACGAGTAGGACTTCCTCGGCAGAGGCTATTTGAGGCGCTTGGTCGTACGGGAGCATTTTGCGAAGTTCAAGGGAAGGGTGATCAGCCGCAACCCTAGACACCCACCGCCGACCATACTGAGGATTTCGGATTCCTACTAACATGACCAAAGGCATCATTCGCTGTTCACGGTTTTGTCCACTATGCACTTTGAATTGGAGTTTTCTACGAGTAAAAGGCTTGAACAAGTACAATACTGGTAAAAAAAGAGCCATGCGCGAGTTCGTTATCGCAATGTGACCATGTCAGATTGACCCTGAACATGTTTTGTTTGTTTGTGGAGAGGTTACTTGGCCGTTCGCATGCAATCCCAACCAACAGGACTGACAACGGAGAACGACTACTCCAACTTTGTGCTGACCACGGACTGT